AAGAAGTTTTAATCCAAAATTCTGGGTGAAATCCTTCAGGCTAAAGTCTGCCAATGTCCTGGTGCTGAGTATATAACTGTGTCCTGGAGACACAGAGTGATCAAGTATTGGCTGTAACTGAGTTTCGAGAATCAAATTATTAAATCTTTTCTTGCACCTGCATATAAAAGAAGGCAGAATGGTAAAGAAGATAGAAATTTGTCAGTATTTCAAGCACACTCTGAGTTAAAGAGACCATTCCTGTAGCAAATCCTTGGAGGCCATTCTGCTGATTCCCCCTGACTGACATTCATATTTAGGCCAGAATGTCTCACAAGGAAAATGAGATGTGAACTAAACTGATCATATCAACATGAATCCACTCCATAAAAGTTTACTGAAAATTTTTTTGTCAATAGTCTTCCTAAAATTGAATCTACAAACATGAAGTACAACTTACAGTATGACTCGCTGCTCTAATCCCTACATATGATACTTTCCCTAACCTTCATAATTCTTCTTGTAAAGATAAGGAAAACTTTGATGCAGAAAAGTTAAATGATCTGTTGGAAGTTAGCACCCTACTTAGGTGCAGAGTAAATATTTGAATCTGACAAGGCTGGCTGGAAAGTCAGTATCCCAGCCACTGTGACACACTGGCAAAACATGACAACCATGTTTCCAAGTGCAGACTGTAATTAGCTTTTTAACAAATTCTTTGCCAATTTAGTATCTCTACAGTTCCTGTTTCTGTGAAAAGATTAAATTTCAGTATCAAATATGAATGAGAACAGTATTCCTGGGAATGAAAACTACTGTAGAATCCATGGGAAACTATGAGTTTTTCACCGAGAGTCCTGCCATCTAGTCCGGCAATCCCTCTTCTGGCTGTTTATACAAACCAACTGAAATCAGGATCTCTGAGATATTAGGACTTCCGTGTCCATTGCTGCAATAGTCACAACAGCTGAGACAAAGGAGCAGCGTGTCTTCCCATTGAAGGATGAATGGGTAGAGCAAATGTGGAGTATATGCCCAATGACATAGTATTCAGTCTTTCAAAACAGATAGAAAGAAATGAGTTCTGAAATAGGTGACAATATGAACTAGGCTTAACAACAGTATGTTGGGTGAAATTAGGCAGTTAAAGAACAAATATTTTATGACTTTACTTATATGTGAAATCTAAATGGCTTACAGAGTGTCAAATGCTGGTCACCGGGGAATGGTGGAGAGGACAACAGAGAGTTGCTAAATAACAACCATAAAGTCCCAGGGAAGTAACATGAAAAGCTCCAGGAGCTCTTGGCCACAACATTACATGTCTAGTTAGCAAAATTTTACTCTTAAAAATTGTTAAGGAGACAGAGCTTATGAAACACCATCTTATAATAAAATCAATGTGCAAAGAGTTGTATAGAAACTAAGGGTGTAGCTCAGTGATAGAGTGCTCTCCTACATATGGGAGTCCCTCCCTGGGTCTGATCCTTCTCACTGAAGAAAAAAATCTATAAATTTTATCTTCTTCTTTCACTGCTGGAGATCAAACCCAGGGTCTTATTTTTGTGCTAGGCAGTTGCTCTCCCACCGAGCCGTTATCTCTAACCTCAGCCAAATATAGAATATTTTTAAACCAGAGAAAACAATGCAAAATATATTTGATCCTAACACCTATCTTCTGCAATGTATGATAGCAAAATTTTCTTTTCCATAAATTCTGCTTCCCTAACTTTAAGAGGAAAACAGTCTTGCTGTAGTCATCAGAGCATAGATGTCTTCAAGGGGTGACAATTACTCTTTCCTCAAAGTGCATCACATATGATGGAGTTTGAGTTTCAAAAATACATTTTAAAGATAAACTCGAGGCCTTTATATTTAAATGGTCACAACTAGAGACCATACTCATAACTGAAATAAATCAAACATACATGTGCAAGCACTGCATTGTGTCACTAGTGTAAAACTTGAAAGAGTTAATTTAAACTCGGAGGTATGATAGACACTGTGAAATGATAGGAAACCACTGAAGAGTAAAGGGCTTCCGGGATGTGGGAAAAGAGACGGGAAAGAAGGAGAAATTTTGTATGTATGTATATACAGGATAGTTAACATGGTTGTTCTTCTGTCTTCTATTTCTATGCTGAAAGAAACTGTCAATGAGTCTTTGGTTGACCAGTATTGCATGTCTATATCTGTTTTCATGAGAAGCCACTTTGAAGATATCAATATGTAATACAACCACCATTGTTAATTCCCTACCACTTTGTTTGGAACTCTGTATTGTCTGTATTGTGCTTGTGATATGTTGCAAAATATTGTATGTCTGTTAATGTTTCCCTCCTTTTATCTTTAAAATAAAAAAAAATAAAAAATAAAAAAAATACATTTTAATTTCAGAAATAATTTCAGATGGACGATTTCTGCACCAAGGTAGGAAAGAAATATGACTCCATCCTACTCTTTTTGATAGGCAGGAAGGCATGATACGCATACTAATGATAATCCTGTGAATTTGCCTTTTCTCATGTAAGATTTTGTGAACAACAGATACATTTAACTACTTCCATCCCCAAGAACTTAAAGCTTAATTTTCTAATCATTGTGATGATTCACCAACAATTGCCCTCAGTGACGAGTTCATTAAATTATGTCGGGAGCCTTCATGAATTGGCATAGAGTCTGGGACCATTACTTTTACTGGTTCAGTTCATAACTAAGAAATATTCTTCTCCCTTTCAGTGGTTGTGTTTCTATCACAGAATCCCTTTTCTAAACATAAGCACTTACCTAGGTATTCTGTCCTTATTGACTTTGTTTCTCAGACTGTCAGACAAAATACTCACCTTGCCCCTTCACTCTTCAAGAAAGTGAGCTCTGTCTGAGGATTACGACAGCCAGCATTTCAGGGGAAGGAGGCAGCTGGCCCCTGAGAAAGGTTTGTGAGTCTGTGACCTCCCCTCCTCTGCAAGCTGTAATTATCTTTCCATCTGCACTGGCAATGATAGTGGAGGCTTGCAGACACAAGAACATTTCTGAAGAACTTTTTAAACAGTTGCTAATTAGTAAGGACAATTACAACTTTCTCATAAGTATCCCCAAAGAAACCATACAGATGTACTGAACAGGCTGTTACATTTTCATGATCCCTGAAACTGAGGGGAACAACTAACGTGGAAGAGGCATCAGCTTGAGGAACTGGCGAAGAGGCATATGTGTCTGAATAGACTCCCTGCTTCTGTGAGGTATTCTCTGAAATCCAAGTTTGTTCTTCACGTTCAAAGCTCTACATTATTACTTAAATTGTGGGTTGTTTTGCCATTAAGTTATTTGACATGTCTTTTGGCCGTTACCTCTTTAGATATATAGTTATAAAATAGTTTCTACCACTCTATAGGCTGTCTCTTCCTTCTATTCACTGTTTATTTGCTTTGCAGAAGTTGACCGTAATAAAATCACATTTTTTTCTATTTTGCTTGTGATTCTTGTGCACTTTGTGTCCTGTAAAAATCATTACTGAATATTCCAATGTCTTGAAGTAGTTCACCTATTTTTCCACTAGTAATTTCATAACTGAGTGTCTTATCTTTACACATTTAGTCCACTTTGAGTTGATTTATGTACAGGGAGTCACACAGGTGTCTAGTTTCAGCCCGCTGCATGAGGACATCCCTATTTCCACATCCCCCGTATTGACCAGACTGCACTGCTTCCACTGGGTGTGCTTAGAACCTTTGTGTAAGATCAGCTGTAGAGGTTGGGGTTTCCCCCAGGATCTCCATTCTGCTCCACTGGTGTGTGTCTCTATTTTTATGACAACACCACACATTTTTTAAAAATTTAGTTTAGCTTTACAGTATATTTTGAAGTCCTATGGTGTGATGTCTACTGCTTTGCTCTTTTTGGTCAAGATGGCTTCAAATATTTGGGGTTTTCATGGATCCATTTGAATTTTAGGTAAGTTTTGTTTTGTTTTGTTTTTAGTTGTGTGAAGAACATCACTGGAATTGACACTGTCCTGACTATATATTTAGATCAATCTCTCCATTCAGGATCAACAAAATTCTTATTCTGGAACCTTGAAGCCTGCAGCTTTGGAGTGCAGTGACCCAGACACACCCATATGCCCCATTTGTTCTCTTCTGGACACCCAGCGCCCACTGTCTCACGTCTAACAAGTGCAGACTGCTCATTAGGTAGTGAAATGTCAAGGAGAATGGTCACTGGGGTGGTAAAAATTTACAAGAAGAATTAATCATACAATTATAATCAAGATATTTAAGAAATGAGTTCCCAAAACAACCAGCATTTGTAGTGGCAGGAGTGTGACATGGCTACTACAGCCCTTACATAACAATGCTCTCACTTAAGTTTTGGAGGATTTCTTCCTCACTTTTAGGAATTCTATTGATGTTGATTAAGGGTCTGAAGATTTCTGAGGCATAACAGTTTCCATGGATCACCAAAACTCTTCTCTCATTGGGTACTGCTCTTACATTGCTGTGGTCTTAATTATGTGCAGAGTAAACAAATATGTTTTCTGCGCTGGATATTGACACTATGTATAATATCCACATTTATTTGTTACGGTAAACAGTCATAAAAATAAAGTACATGGTGAACACAGCACATAAAACTGCCCATAAGACACAGAGAACCCAGGGAGAGTTGTCACAGCATTCACCACCTAGTCCTTCACTGTATTTACTCAGAAAATGTTTCCTTGAACAGGAATTTAGCAAAATATTTTGATTATCAGCATCACTGCTAGGACAGAATCCACTTAATTTCTCTAAAGCAACCCTCAACTCAGAGTGATGTTTTTTAGGACAGTGCACCAGAATTAGACCAATCCCATGTGCTCACTCCTTTAATCCCACACAAATCCCACATTCGGAAACCCAAAATGCTCATTTGTCTACCAAGGAAAGATACGAGCTTTCTCCTTGCATCTCTATGCAGCCTCTCAGAGAGAAATGAGAAATGAACTATGAAAAGTACTACTTCCAAAACACACAATTTATTTATTTCTTATAAGGGGAGAGAGTGTTCCTTATCCAAAAAAAGCAGAGCCTGGATATAGAGGAATCCTGGCTCATTATCAGAAAGGGGCTCATAGTTGGGAAACACAAAGAAATTACATCAGAAATGCTCACCAGCCACCAATATATCTCAGGAAAAAAAGCAATGGAAAAGTTAAAGATGGAGGACATGCTGTAAAATGATACAAAAGTGCCCACTAGAAGAAAGATGCTTTTGGTGGCTCTGGACTCAGGGGATCTGGAGAAAACATTTTTCCTGTGAAGGTGTTGGACCCGCTGCTTGTGTTGGTACAGAGTAAAAATCATGGAGCCACTTGCACAGATCATAAGTATGGAAAAAATAACTTCAGGGAATGCTACTAATGCCATATAGACTGAGCCCAGGATTTTCCCGTGATCTACAAGAGGACAGAGTCTCATTTCTCTTCTCTTTGTGATGTTTCTGCTATACCGTTTTGCAGACATAGACAGCAGATAAATGGGAAAGATGAAATTTACCACTGTATGTTGAAACCAGCAGAGGCAAATGGATAAGCCAAGATACTTTGGAGCTTTTATTTTAAGATTTTTCCAGCAGGAGTTTGTGGGGCTGATCATGATAGTCTGGAAGATACTCAAGAGGCAGATGGTGCCGATCGACATACCCCTGCCCACTCTTTCAACATACAAGATAAGTTTGCAGACAAAATCGTTGAAAGAATGTTTCAGTCCAAAGGCTACAATTATCTGGGGAGGTCCTTTAGAAAGAATAAGTAAGGAGTTGGCTATAAATATGTGCCTGAGAATCAAATCTATGTATCTCAACTTGCTTTTACTATGGTAAAGGAAAAGATAATGGTAAGGAAGAAAAAGATTGCCCAGGACTCCAACAATAGTCTGCAACAAGAAGATCATTCCTAATGCCAAATACATGGGTTCTGTTTTTGTCATTTTCTCTAAAATTTACTTTAAATTATAGTGACAGTTATTGTGTTGAGCAAGGTGCATTATCGAGATCTGACACCAAAAATAGTTTCGAAGAAGAGCTCTTATGGAATTGCAAAGATTTCATGAAGCAAGAGGAGCTGAGGAGAATTCTCAGGCTATTTCAGGATAAGTCATCACTCTGGATGAGATGGAGGTAACCTGGGGAAGAAGTGACAGGTGAGAACATATAGAAAGAAAATACAGTATTTTCAGTAAAATCTGAAATGTATCTGAGTTACATTATAGAAAGAAGAGCCACCATCATTATTGACCTCATGCTGTAAATCAATTCTGAATAAATTTCTACTGTAATGTAGTAAATATCATATGTGGTAGCAAAATTGTCCGTGTGAGCTAAGAAAAATAAATATTGTTTATGAAACACAAAATGGACAAAATGACAAATTATATTAAAATTAAGAATACTTTCGTTAAAAACACATAGTTATATTGAAGGGGAAATAACAAAGACAAAGGGAGATAGACAGACACAAAGATGGAAAAGGCACATAGAAACACTTTCATCATGACGAGCTCTTACACATTACATATGAAAATTAACAACGGGAAATATTGCAATTGAAATTTCAAAAAAAGAAGTTACTCAGTTGATAATAACTATATTCCAATTTTCAATGTTCTTATTAAACAGAAAAATTTGAATAAAACTATCAAACAGCATCCAGAATGCTAAGATGCAAAGACAGGAAATAGCAAGTTTGGTGAAAATATGGGGAAATCAAGAACTTGTCCATGCAAAATGGATACAAGTGTTTTGGAAAACTTTTTGGGTAGAATCTATTTCAGTTGTGAAATGTAAGTGTCATTTCCTCTTCAATGTCTTTTTTCAGAGTACAACAGTTTTCATTCTAGAGGTCTTTCAATTCCTTGGATAGGTTAATTTCTAGGTCTTTAATTTCATTAAAAGTTACCATAAATGGGAATTTTTTTCTGATTTCTTTTTTAGTAGGTTCATTCTTGATGTATAAGAATGCTTTCAATTTTTGTATATTATTTTATATCCTACTATTTTCCTGCATCTGTTTATTAATTTTATGATTCTGCTGGTGCAGTTTTTAGAATCTTGTTTCTAAAGGATGATGTCATCTACAGATATGGATGGTTTGATTTCTTCCTTTCCTATTCATATCCCATTTATTTCTTTCTGTTGCTTGATTGCTTTGGCTAAAATTTTGAATATTGTATTAAACAGGAGTGGTTGAAAGTGTACACCCTTTCTTATTCCAGATTTTAGAAAAACACTTTCAGTTTTCCCCATTTATTATGATGCTGGCAGTGGATTTGCTATAGTTTTTTTTTTTACTCAGTTTGAGATAAGGTTCTTTGATATCTAATTTTCATCAGAGTTTTTATTATGAATTGATGTTGGATTAGAGCAAAGACTTTTTCTGCACCTATTGAGAGGAAAATTTGATTTTTATCCTTCTACTTATGTGATGTATTGTATTTATCAATTTATATATATTGGTCCATACTTTCATCCCTGGGATGAAGCCAGTATCAGTGTAATGCTAGCTTCCAGAATGAGTTTTCTTCTAGTAGTTTTGAATTTGGATTTTTATTGTTTTTTTTAGAACCTTGAGATACATCATTAGGTAATTTACTTGGGATCACTATTGTCTTGATGTGTGCATTCAGAACTTCCTTCTTGGTACTGCTTTCATGACATCCCATATGTTTTGATATGCTATATTTCCATTGTATTTTGATAATAAGAACTTTTAAATTCTTCTGTAATCCATTGGTTATTGAATTATTAAATTTCCATATGTTTGTATAATTTCTGGGCTTTGTTTTGGTGTTGACTTCTAGTTTCATTTTTGTATGTACCAGCAGCATTCAAGAGATTGTTTCAATTTTTGTATTTACTTAGGCATTCTATATTACCTAAGATATGGTCTATTTTGGAAAAATTCTGGGTATGGTGGAGAAAAATGTACAACATGTTGTTAGATGAAACACTGTCTAGATATCTGTTAAATCCATTTGTTTAATGGTGTAGCTTGACTCATATTTCTTTTTTAATTTTTTTCCTCTGTCTACTTATAAGAATCTTTTTGATCTGTCTACTTGTAAGAATGGGATACTAAGGTCCCCCACTATGACTGTATTCAATTCATTTTTATCTGCCTTTTTGTGTTCAGTAGTTTTTCTTTTGTGAAATTGTGCCCAAAGCTTGTGCATATATATTTATAGTTATCTCTTCCTGTTGAGTTATTTTCTTTACCAGTAGGTAAAGCCCACATGTGTCTCTTCTGAGCAGTTTTAGCTTGAATATGGTATGTCTGAAATTAAGAAACTTATTCTGCCTTGTTTTTGGAATCTTGTTGTACAGGTTTTTTCCCACCCTTTAATTTTTAGTCTATGCACTTTCTTATGGATGAGGTTTGTCTGTTTTAGACCATATATACCTAGGATTTGGGGAACTAATATTCTATTCTGTATTTTTTGTTTTGTGAGTTAAGACCATTGACATTGAGAGCTATTATTCTGAGCTATTTACTGAACACATTCATTGCATTTTATTTTTGCAGTACTGATTTTTTGTTTGTTTAACTTTTTCCTATGATAGATGTACATTTTCTTTGGGCTTCTTGGGGTGTCACCCTCTGTCACTCTGTATATATTTCCCTTAAATATTTTTGTAATGCTTGTTTTGTGGTCATGTATTTCTACAAAATTTCTCTGTCATGAAAAGTCCTCATTTCTCTGTCATTTTGAAGGCTAATTTTGCTGGGTATAAAAGAACAATTTTTTATTGTTAGAGAAACTTTGTCCAAGCTTATGTAGCCTTTAAAGTTCATTCTGAGAAATGTGTATTATTCTGATAAGTTGAATTTATATGTCAATTTTTGCCTTTCTCTGGCAGCTTTTATTCCTCTTATCACTGAATTTCTGAAATTTCCAGTGCTATTTCTCATGGAGAGGTTCTTGTCTGGTTGTGGGTATTTGGAGTTTCAGATGTCTTTTGTAATTCAACATTGTATTATTCCCCAAACACTAGAAAATTTATGCTATGATTTCAGTGAATAAATTGATTACATCTTTTGAGTCATTTTCCAAAATTTGAGGTTTCTTTCATTATTGAGAAGCTATTAAATTCCTCTTCCAGGTGTCATGTTGTCCTTAGGGTATTACTGAGTATATAATCTATATCTATCTTATCTTGAAAATGGAAAAAAATCCTATGTTCCTGGATAAGAGGTATCAATATTGTCAAAATGGCCATATTACCAAAAATGATATATAGATAAAATGCAATTCCAACAAAAATAGTAACAGTTCTCTTCAGGGAGCTAGAAAAGTGTCATAAAACTTATATGCAACAAGAAGTGATTCAGAATAACCAACACAATTTTGAACAACAATAACAAAAGAGGAGACTTTGTAATATCAGACTTTAAGTTATATTACACAGCTATAGTGATGAAAACATCATGCTACTGCACAAAACTAGTCATGTGGGTCAGTGAGATAGAAGTGAGCACGCAGAAAGAATCCACAGGCACATTTACATTTGATCTTTGTCAAAAGAGGCCAAAACCACACACTGGCAAAAATGTAACCACTATAAGAACGGGTGAAAGGAAAACTGGTTATCTGCATATTAAAACAGAAAAAACAAACTACTCAAATTTAAAATAGGTAAAAATCTTGAAGACAAAGGCATAGGAATTTTCAGAACAGTATTACAACTGCACAAGAAATAACACCAACAATCAAAAGAAGAAATTATATCAAATTAATAAGTTTCTACACAGCAATGAAAACAAACAACAGAGTGAAACGATGACCCACAGAATGAGAACAAAATTTGCTAGCTACTCCTTGGACAGAGAACTACTATCCAAAATATAAATGAATTTTTTAAAAAACCAGACCATCAAAAGTAAAACCCCAGTGAAGAAGTGGGCAAGTGAAATTAATATAGTTCTCAAAAGAAGAGGTACAAATAGCCAAAAAGTACATTTAAAATGTTCAGCATTTCTGGCTGTTTGAAATATGGAAAAGAGAGCAACACTGAGATTGTGTCTCACTCTAGAAAGTGGGGCTACAAAAGACTCAAAGAACAAGAAATGCTGGTGAGATCGTGGAGGGAAAAAACCTTTTTATATTGTTGGTGGGAATGTAACTAAAACAACCACTATGGGATCAGTATGGAGATTCATAAAAAAACTAAAAATAAAATTTCTATTTGACCTACCTGTGCTTCTTTCCTGAAGAATTAAAGTTGCCATATTACAATTATACACTCATATCCATGTTTATAGCAGCACACTTCATAATCACCAAATTATGGAAGTTGCATTTATCTCTTCAGCAGATAAATGGGCAATTAAATCTGCTACATATGCAGAATGGAGCATTACTCAGCAGTCAGTAGGCTACATTTGAGTGATTTGTAGGAAAATTGATGCATATGGAAGACATATGCTAAGTGAAACAAATCAGATAGAGAATGTTAAATGTTCAATCATTTCTTGTTTATGAGAAAAATAAATTATAAATAATTTCAAAAGCAAAGTTAAAAATGATAGGGAACAGGGTGGTAGACTTTATGTAGATGAGATGGGGATTTTGTGATGGGGGTGTTTGAAGAACATGTGAGGAAAGCAAATAGGATTAAGATGTTATATATACATGTACCAGTTCTTTACACTAAAGGTTTTTGTTATATATTACCAACATGTACTAATAAAAATTTTAAAATGTAAGTTCATGTTGTAATAATTTCATTGACATCAGTTTACTCAACAGAAAATTAGGCATGTTTCACAGAACAACAAGCTACACTTTGTACATAATAGCTATATTCATTATTTAGTATAGACCCAAACTCATAACCACTCACATTTCCATTAAGTTTAAAAATTCAAATAATTAATATTCATGCAATAAAATACAATAAAGCATTGATAATTAATACTATCAATAATATTCAA